GTGTGTATCTAGAAATCTGTCCATTTCTTCCAGATTTTCGAATTTGTTGGAGTACAGTTCTTCATAGTATCCTGATATTATTTTGATTTCAGTTGGTTCTGTTGTGATGTCACCCATTTCGTTTCTTATTCGTGTTATTTGTATTCTTTCCCTCTGTTAAATTTGCCAGTGCCTTGTCAATTTTATTGATCTTTTCAAAAAACCAACTTCTGGTCTTGCTGACTTTTTCTATTGCCCTTCTATTTTCTGTTTCATTGATTTCTGCTCAAATCTTGATTATTTCCTTCCTTCTGGTGACTGTAGGCTTGTCAGGGTTCTTGCTGTTCTTTTTCTAATTGTTGGAGATGTTGGTTTAAAGTGTTGATTTTGGCTCTTTCTTCTTTTATTGATGTGTGCAGTTATTGCTATAAATTGGCCTCTGATCACTGCTTTTGCTATGTCCCAAAGATTTTGGTATGTTTTATTTTCATTCTTGTTTGATTCAAGGGATTTTTGAATTTCAAGTTTTATTTCTTCTCTTACCCAGTCTTTCTTAGGAGGGTGTTGTTCAGTTTCCATGTGTTTACTCTTTTTCTGTTGATCTTCCTATTGTTGGTGTCTAATTTGATAGCATTACGATCTGAAAAGATGCTTTGCAGTATTTCAGTGTTTTTAAATTTATTAAGGCTTGCTTTATGGCCTAACATATGGTCTATCATGGAAAATGTTCCATGTGCACTGGAGAAGAATGTATATTGTGCTGTTGTTGGGTCAAATACTTACCGCTTGTAAACATTCCAAATGACTGTGTCCTTCGTCACTTTAAATATCTAAAATGGCCACCGCCTGTAAACAATCACAATGGCTGCTCCCTCTGGACAGCCAATAGCACACAGCTCAAGTTGTCTTGCCCCTTGCTGTTTCCCTTCCTAGTCATAGGCCACCAGTGCAGTTGTCCCTGCAACCCTTGGCAACCAGGGCTGATCTTTAGATCAATTGTCAAGTTCCAATACCACTTGGAAATACTCAGGCTGTTGGTCCCATCAGAGTAGCTGACAGTCCATAGCTCTGTTCATCTCTGTACTGCTTGTTTTCAAGTTTTTCCACTAGTTGGTGTCTAATCCACTTCTGCGTACTTGCTTTCAAAGCTCAGGGTTCCAGGATTATCTTCTGTATCTCTGCTAATTGGTATCTCTTTTCTGTGTTGAAGAGGGTCTGTGTTGCTTGTCTGCCTATTTCACCATCTTACTCTGTTTTAAATTAAGATTTTCATACCTACCTTTCCAAAGCAAGCCATTCAGCCTTTTAAATTTTTATTTACTTATTTATTTTTGTTCCTTGTCAAAGTTACTGTTCCAATACCAAAGATAAGAGTCAGAATCTCTAACCTGGATGAAGAATTGCTTAGTGTTTATTAAACTCACTATTTTAACTGTTCCTCGAATCACCTGGTGAATATAGCTGAGAACAGTCACTTCCCCTTAGTCTTGTAAACAATGGTATACATGTCTGAGGGTTCAGATTAGAGTTGACTCAACCTTCTCTTTTCAATCAGTGTTCATTCCAAGGATTTCAAATAGAATTGACTTGATCAACAATCAATCACAAGATCCTCACATCAAAATGACTACAGGGTGTGCTTCAGAAATACTGCCTTAGTCACACTGTATCAGGAAACAAAAAAATTAATGTGTGGCTAAGAACTGTTATTAAGAAATTGTGGGATCTGACAACTCCTTGTAAATTTACCTGCCATCCCCTGCACTTCTCTTTCATGTGAAACGTTTCCCTTTGGTTATTTACCAAATAAACACTAGCTGTTTCTTCTACAGGGCATCATCTCTTTTTAATTAATTTATTTTTTAATTTTCTTTTTCTTTGTGATTTGTCTTGCATCTTCTCTTAAGGTGCTGTGGTTCCTCCATTTTATGAGACGCAATTATCCCTTCAATAACATCTTGTTTTGTTTTCTAACAGAGATTTAGTCTCATGTTTCCACTAAGTGCTGAGTCTGTGAAATTGGCTTTACAGACAATTTCATGCATATTGTTGTGGTTTGTCTTCTTTTCAGTTACAGTGCGGTTATTTTCTGATTCCTGTCCTAATTGTTAAGGTGCTCTGGTGGTGTGGTGGTTAAGGCATTTTGGCTGCTAACCATAGAGTTGGTGGTTCGAACCCACCAGCTGTTCTGTGGAAGAATGACGGGGCAGTCTGCTTCTGTAAAGATGTACAGCCTTGTAAACCCAGTGGAGGTTGCTATGATTGGAATTGACTCACTATTGGCAAGGTTTATTTTTTGGTTAGTTTTTTCCTAATTCTTGAGGCCACAGCCCTTCTATGCTTCTCAAGCATTTGTCTGTAGGAAATCCCTCTTATAATATTATTAATTTCTTTCTTGTTGTGTAAGGGTAGGAATGGCAAGTTCTGTATTTTTAAATATAATATAGTCATTTAACCAAAAAATAATCATAATGGTAGTATTTGTATGGCCTTCCAATCCCCAGAAACCACTATTCAATTCTCCAGATTTCTTTTTGGTGTGCGAGGACAATGCATGGCCTGTGGGACAGCTGGGAAAGGGCCAATGAAGGTTTGGAAGCTGAGCTGAATTGTAACTCCATTTCCCACAGAAGGGATTAGTGACAGATAAGTATGGATGATAACTTGTCTCCTTAGCTGTTTTTCAGAAACCCGGCCAAGGTCAACTTGAAATCCTTTAAAATCAGCTCAGATCTGGTTTGGCCCACAGACATGCAAAGTGAGATAAATGGGAACCAATTGTTTGGAACTAACATCTCCTTCTCTGCCCAAGACCCAATCAGCTGATGACAGGAAGTTGATGTAACTCATCCAGTAGGGAAGTTCACTGTGTTAAAAACTGACTGTCCCTCTAAACCGAGGTGAACGAAACTTCAGCCAATCTCCAGCTAATTCACACCCGAATTCCTGAAATTTATATGAATATGTAGAGACCCCTTTCCTGAACTTTACAAAATCTGTACCCCATCCCCCACTTGGGAAGTCAGATCTGGGTACTGGCCCCTGTTTCCTTACCATGTGCATGGTAATAAATTATCTTTCTCATCACTCAGGTAACACAGAGTGTGTGAACTGATTTGGCTTAATCATGCTCTGGGGAGGGACTGACTCACTTCGGTCCAACTTCGGTTCCAAACTAGAAACATAAGGAAGAGGTGGATTACACGGCCCAGTGAAGCTCTCTCCACTGAGGTTTGTTAGCAGATCGTGAATAATCGCCCAGGAAGGAGACTGTTGAGTGTTCATACATTTTGGCATGAAGCTAGACCAGATTCCAAATCTCCTAATTTATGGTTTTGAAAAGGTCCTGGGACCAATGACCTTAAGAATCACCTTATCCCCACCCCTATCCCCAGCCTAAATCTATTCTCTTTCAAGGGCCTACAGAAATGAGATGAAAAGTTCATGCAACCAGATGACAAAAGAACTCCAAGTCAGGAAACTAACAAAAAAATTGGTCTGGGATCGGTGAAACCCTTGGGGTCTCAGCTGAAGCCAATTCACAGTCACTCCCTTGAGCACCCAGGCTGCAGGAGATCCCATAGGAAAATAACCCCCACAGGTTGCCAAGCACAATAGCAAATCACTCATTCATACATGGGGGTGCCCTGGAGTACTCCAAGGAGCCAAACTGTAAGAACGTTCAATGAAATGGAAGAATGTTCCCAATTGATTATGGGGAAATTCATGAGTCAAACAGTATACAAGCATGAGCTAATTTTTATGGGACAACGTTGTGTGTCTGAGAGAGAGAGAGAGAGAGGTAAACACACACCATGGAATACTACATATACAACAGAGACATACAAAGAAAGAGACTTGAAGCCTACGTACCCCAAAAAAAAAACAAAAACAAAAACAAAAAACCTCACTACCATTGGGTTATTCTGACTCCATAGCAACCCCCTTTAGGTTTCTAAGGTGGTAAATCTTTACAGAAGTAGATTGCCTAGTCTTCCTTCTACAGAGTGGCTGGTGGGTTTGAACTGCCAAACTTCTAGTTAGCAGTCATATGTCTTAGGCACTGTGCCACCAGAGCTCCTTGGAAACTTACATTATCAGGACTTAATTAGTCATTAGCACAACAATACAGGTGATGATTATTTATTTCTAGCTTATGTTTTATAATGAGAATATTCTTTTGCTTTGAAAAAAGTTATCAAAAAAAGATAACAAGAATGAAATGATTAGAATAGGCTTGGAAGAGGAAGAAATACTTAGGGATATTTTGTAAGGACTTATTTTATGAATTTTCAGGGTGATAGGACAGATTACACTTATGAAGAAAAATAGTAAGACAAGAAGCTTTTGTTTTTTTGGGAGGGGGGCACTGAGTTTATACTAATACAAAATGCACTGCCACTGAGTTGGATCTGACTCATAGCAACCCCTCCTTGGGTTTCTGAGGCAGTAGCACTATAGGGAATTAGACTGCCCAACCTTCCTTCTGAGGAGTGGCTGGTGGGTTTGAACCATCAGCCTTCTGGTTTTCAGTCAAATGCCTTAGGCGCTATACCACCAGAGCTCCTAGGTGGTGGAATATTTAGGAAAAGGGTAGTAATAAAGGTGGCACATGAAAAATATCATCAATGTCCCTGAGCTGTAAATGGGGGAGTTGTTACATTGGTGATTGTCTTGGTGTGCATGTTTCCACCACAATAAAAATAAAAATGGGAGCTCTGGTAGCGTACTGCCTAAGGCACATGACTGCTAAGCAGAAGCCTAGCGGTTCAAACCCACAAGCCACTCCTCAGAAGGAAGGTTGGGCAATCTACTTCCATAGAGATACCACCACAGAAACCCAAGGAGGGGGTCGCTATGAGTCGGGTCCGACTCGATGGCACATAACAACAACAATAAAAGTAAAAATAATAATAATAACAAGACAAAACAAAACTGAACTGTGTTTTAAAAACCATGTCAAGATATGAAAACACTGAGGAGTGGACGGTCTTCCTATGGCTACCAACAGGGTATGTTACCTTTTCAATGGTCTCGTAGCACTCTTCTATTCTTTGACTTCGGTCTTGTAAAACCGTACTAGCTTGTTTAAACTTCTCCAACCACTCCCTGTAGTCTTTCTCAGTTAGATCAGTATAAGCCATAACCAGAGTTCTCAGCCCTGCGATAAAGAATGTGGTAGCTCTGAGTCAGGCTGCTGGTGATCAGGGACAAGAGATGCATTTGGAAATAAAATTCACAAGCATTTTAGAAGTTGTATGAATGTGAAGTCCTTCAAGATTCTCTTTGATCTGGCCTGGAATACCTTGCTAATATTTCTTTACCTTCTCTCTCTCTCTTTCCCTTGCTAATTGTGACATCCTTGCTGTAGGTCCTCTTACTCACAGACTCTTTGACTTCTCTACCTTTGACCTTGAGAACTTCCTAGCTAACCACTTGGCTCTCCCCTTCACTTTCTTCAATCTCTGCCTCAATGCCACCTTATCTCCCCAGATAAAGAGCACCTTCATCACTCCCCATGCCCCTTCTCCTGTGTCATTTTTCTTCATAGCACTTATCACCATCCCCTGGAATTTTATTTACTAGTAAAGGAGCTCTGGTAGCATAGTACCTAAGGCACTTGACTGCTAACCAGAAGGCTGGTGGTTCAAACCCACCAGCCACTCCTCGGAAGGAAGGTTGGGCAATCTACTTCTGTAGTGATAATGCCTTGGAAACCCAAGGAGGGGTCGCTATGCGTCACGTCTGACTCGACAACACATAACAACAATAAGTAAATTCCATGAGCTTAAGTTTCCATGTTCTGTCCACTGCTTTCCCAGAGGCTGAGAATGTTGTATGGCACTTAATACCCATTTCCACCCAGTCACTTCTGACTCATACTCACCCTATAGGACAGAGTAGAACTGCCCCATTGAGTTTCCTAGGCTGTAATCTTTGCAGGAAGAAATCAGCAGGTTTTTCTGTCTTGCAGAGGGTGGTAGGTTCGAACCGCTGACCTTTTAGTTAGCAGACTGGCTCTTAACCATTATGCCACCAAAAATAAATACCAAACCAAGCTTACTGCCATCAAGTCAATTATGACTCAAAGCGACCCCCTTTGGGTTTCCAAGGCAGTAAATCTTCACGGAAGTAGATTGCCCAGTTTTCCCTTTGCAGAGTGGTTGGTGGGTTTGAACCGCCAACCTTCTAGTTAGCAGTCAAATGCCTTATGCACTAGGCCATGAGAACACTTTCTAACCTAAAAGGCCATTGCTGTGGATTTGATTCTGACTCACAGCGCCCCTAGAGGACAGAGTGGAACTGCCCCAGAGGGTTTTCAGGGCTGTCAATCTTTACAGAAGCAAAGCCCAAACCAAACCCACTGCTGTGGAGTCGATTCTGACTCACAGCGCCCCTAGAGGACAGAGTGGAACTGCACCAGAGGGTTTCCAGGGCTGTCAGTCTTTCAGAAGCAAAGCCCAAACCAAACCCATTGCTGTGGAGTGGATTCTGACTCACAGCGCCCCTAGAGGACAGAATAGAACTGTTCCATAGTGTTTCTAGGCCTGTCATCTTTATGGAAGCAGACTGGTCATCTTTCTCCCCCAGAGTAGCTGGTGGGTTCCAACCGCAACCTTTTGATTAACAGCTGAGCGCTTAACCACTGTGCCACCAGGGCTCCTCAGTGGCACTTAAAAGATGTCAATTAACTAGCTGTTGATTGAATGAGAGACTGAATGAGGATTAGATATTTCCAATTATTAGCCAGATAATCTCTAAATGTTCAGAAAATCTATCTTAGTCCCATTTTGAAGGAACGTGTTTACAAAAATAATAATAATAATAAACCAGGCTGTATTCTTATATTTGAAGCTAACTCTTCTAAAATATGAAAATGCTTTAGGATTCCCTAGAAATTACTTCTCCCCAAAAAACACAGAAACCAGGTAGCACTGAGTCAACTTCTGCTCCCAGCACGCCACACGTGTCAGCCTATCGCGGCACTCCACGGGGTTTCCAACACCAACTTTTCGGAAGCACATCACCAGGCATTTCTTCCGCAGGGCCTCTACTGAAGTTGTGATTCTGCTACGGCACAGTTACAGCACAATTCCTCTATGTCTCTACGTATTGTAGCTTGCCAACAGCAAATAAAAAAAAACAAACCTCACTGTCGCCGAGTCGGATCTGACTTATAGCGAGTGGCCCCTCCTTGGGTTTCTGAGGTGGTATCACTACAGAAGTAGATCGCCCCATCTTTCTTCTGAGGAGTGGTTGGTGGGTTTGAACTGCCAGTCTTCTGGTTAGCAGTCAAATGCCTCAAGCACTACGCCACCAGAGCTCCTTGCCAACAGCAATGTATGTTAAAATTACAGAAAAAGGTCCCAAAGCTCAACCTTGCAAAGAATCCACACTTCTAGGCCAAACACACACACACACACACACACACGTGTGTGGAAGCAGCAGCTTACAGACAATGGTAGGAAGTCGGCTATGGTGTGAATGGTATCACTAGTGGGACACCTTGCTGCTCAAAGCTCCAGTCAATAAATGAGTGAATGCTTTTGTCATGTGTCACTCATTCATGCAACTGCATTTCCTTAAATGATGCATGGTAAGTCAACATCAAGGGCATACAAGAGAAGAGGAGGAGCATATCAAGGATGATGGTTTTCTGAGGGTTATGTGCACGAAATGATTAGCTTGCACATACTCAACATATCATGCAAAACCTGCCTTTTCCTCACACCATGGGCCAAGCTGCTCCATAATCAGTTACAAACATCACACATCGCATACAGAAACACAACGGTGGGCTGCAGACTGCTACAGGCCACATGGGGGGATTATTTATTTACTGTTTATTAAAGTGAGAGAGGAAGAAAGAGAAAATAATATGTATGAAAACATAAAACTCAGCAGAGTTTGGGGAATCATTTACCTTCGAGGAAACAGAAAGCATTACAAAACCACACATACAAAGGCATCCCCTTGCCTGCATGTGTGCCCAGCAATGCATCCAGGGCAACACTGCCAGCATTTAGGAACAGTGCTATCAAAGGCAACAAGGTTAACACTTACCATCTGTGGCAAAATATTCCAGATGCATTAACGTCTCCTCGGTGAACATAGACTCCTCTGAAAGTCTCTCATAAATCACTGTATCCTAATAAATAAATTTTTAAAAAAACACTGTGAACATTAGGTAAGCCTTCCAGTCAGATTCTAAATAGTGCCTTATAGTTTTACCATTACATCTAACAGGTATGAAGCTGCCTGAGTAGCTGTTGGGTGCCACAGAGTCAATTCTGACTCACAGCGGCCCCGTGAGATGGTAGAACTGTCCCACAAGGTTTTTCTTGGCATAGTGCATAAGGCATTTGACTGCTAACCCGAAGGCTGGTGGTTCAAACCCACCACCCACTCATCAGAAGGAAGGTTGGGCAATCTACTTCCGTAGTGATACTGCCTTGGCAACCCAAGGAGGGGTTGCTATGAGTCAGGTCCAACTCCACAGCACCTAACAACAACAACAACAAGGCCTAGTCACTTTAAACCAAAGTTTGCTCCCAGAAACAAAACATGTGAGGGAACACCACAAAACAAGAGGGATCGTGAAAGCCAGATACCATTTTCTCTAGAGGTTTTACAGTTTAAATGATACGTCTAGTTTTATATCTCTTTTGAGTTAAATATTTGAATATAGTGTGGGCCTTGAATAGAAGTTTACTTTTTAGATATGAATATCCAATTTTCCAGCATTATATGTTAAAAAGTGTATTCTTCCTCCATTGAATTGCCTTTGTACTCTAAAAAATCCATGGTCGCATATGTGTGGGTCTATTTCTAGACTCTCTTTTCTTTCATTGATCTGTTTCTCTAGGTTCATACCAACACCACACTGTCCTGGTTACTGTCGCTTTATAACAACTCTTATAACGAGGTATCATTAGTTCTCCAATGTTGCTGTTATTCATAACTGGTTTAGATGTCCTAGGATATTTTCATTTCCATACCTATTATAAAATAGGTCTGCCAATTTCTATAACATTATGTTAATTAAAATGAGCTAGACACAAAAGGACAAATACTGTACAATCCCATCTATATGAAATATCTTGTTGTTGTTGTTAGGTGCCCTTGAGTCAGCTCTGACTTATAGTGACCCTGTGCACAACAGAACGAAACACTGCCTGGTCCTGCACCAGCCTCATGATCCTTGCTCTACCTGAGCCCATTGTTGCAGCCACTGTGTCAATCCATCTTGTTGAGGGCCTTCCCCTTTTTTGCTGACCCTCCACTTTACCAAGCATGACATTCTTCTCCAGAGAATGGTCCCTTCTGACAACATGACCAAAGTAGGTGAGATGAAGTTTGGGCATTCTCACTTCCACAGAGCATTCCAGCTGCACTTCTTCCAGGACAGATTTGTTAGTTCTTCGGGCAGTCCATGGCACTTTCCGTATTCTTGGTCAACACCACAATTCAAAGGCGTCAACTCTTCTTCAGTCTTCCTTATTCATTGTACACCATTCACATGCATATGAGGTAGCTGAAAATACCATGGCTTGGGGTTAGGCACACCTTAGTCTTCAAAGAGACATCATTGCTCTTCAGCACTTAAAAGTGGTCTTTCGCAGCAGAGTTGCCCAGTGCAAGACGATGCTTGACTTCTTGACTGCTGCTTCCATTGGCGTTGACTGTGGAACCAACTAATATGAAATCTTTGACAACTTCAAAATTTTCTCCATTTATCGTGATGCTGCTTATTGAGGATTTTTGCTTTCTGTATGTTGAGGTACAATCCATTCTGCAGACTGCAGTCTTTAATCCTCATCAGTAAGTACTTCAAGTTATCCTCACTTTCAGCAGGCAAGGTTGTGTCATCTGCATATCACAGGTTGTTAATGAGTCCTCCTCCAATCTTGATGCTGTGTTCTTGTTTATATAGTGCAGCTTCTTGGTTATTTGCTCAGCACACAGATTCAGTAAGTATGGTGAAAGGATACAATGCTGACAGATTCCCTTCCTGATTTTAAACCACACAGTGTCCCCTTGTTCCGTTCAAATGACAGCCTCCTGATCATGTACAGGTTCCTCATGAAAACAAGTAAGTGTTCTAGGATTCTCATTCTTCTCAATGTTATTCATAATTCGTTATGATCCACCAGTTGAATGTTTTTGCATAGTCAATAAAACACAAGTAACATCTTTCTGGTATTCTTTGCTTTCAGCCAAGCTCCATCTGACATCAGCAATGGTATCCCTCATTCCATGTCCTCTTCTGAATCCGGCTTGCATTTTAGGAAGTTCCTGGTCAATATACTGCTACAACCATTCTTGAATTATCTTCAGCAAAATTTTACTTCTGTGTGATATTAATGATATTGTTCAATAATTTCCACATTCTGTGGGATCACCTTTCTTTGGAATGGGTACAAATATGGCTGTCTTCCAGTCATCTGGCCAGGTGGCTGTCTTCCAAATTTCTTGGCATAACAGTGAGTGTCTCCAGTGCAGCATCCATTTGTTTAAATATCTCAGTGAGTATTCTGCCAATTCCTGGAGCCTTGTTTTTTGACCAGTTCTTTTTAGTACAGTGACTCTGTGTATTCCTTCCATCTTCTTTTGATGTTTCCTGCATCATTCACTACTTTGTGCATAGAATCTTTTAATATTGCAACTCAAGTCTTAAATTTTTTCTTCAGTTCTTTCAGCTTGAGAAATACTGAGCATGTTCTTCCCTTTTGGTTTTCTAACTCTAGGTTTTTGCACATTTCATTACAATAATTGACTTTGTCTTCTTGAGCTGCTCTTTGAACTGTTTGGTTCAGCTCTTTTATCTTGTCATTTTTTCCATTTGCTTTAGCAACTCTCCATTCAAGAGCAAGTTTCAGTTTCTTCTGACATCCATTTTAGTCTTTTCTTCCTTTCCTCTCTTTTTAATGACCTTTTGCTTTCATGGATGATGTTTCTTGATGCCATCTCACAGTTAATCTGATATTCAGTTACTGGTGTTAATTGCCTCAAATTTATTCTTCATACGGTCTCTAAATTCAGGTGGGATATAATCAAGGTCATATTTTGGCTCCCATGGACTTGTTTTAATTGTCTTCAGCTTCAACTTGAACTTGCATATGAGCAATTGATGGTCTGTTCCAGCGTAGGCAAATTAATAAGGTCAGAAAGTATAATACTGGGGGCTGGGAGAGGGGACTGGGGAGCTATTGCTAGGTGGGTGTAGAGTTTGTGTTTGGGATGGTGAAAATATTCTGCAACTAGAGAGATATGGCGTCCTTAAGGCCACTGGATTGTACAACACAAAAAAGGTGAAAATAATGTCATGTATAGTTTACCATAATAAAAATAACACTGAAGGGGGAAAAAAAAGACAATGTGAAGAGAATGAAAAGAAAAGCCACAGATTGGAAAAAAATATTTATAAATCATACATCTTATAAAGAACTTGATTCAAGAATACAGAAAGAACTCGCAGAACTCAGTATTAATGTATTTTTTAAAAATTTAGAAAAGTGGGCCAAAAATTTAAACAGACATTTTACCAAAAAAGATAAATGAATAGTAAACAAAAAAGGTTAACATGGCAGGCCAAACTGCCACTCTAGATGGCTGCTTGCAAGGCTGGCCCTTAGCTGGCAACTGGGAACTTGGCTAGTAAACAATTCCCTACACTGGTTTCCCCTAAATGATACAGTGGCTCATTGTGCCTTGACTGTTTCTGCCAACAGAATGGTTTAGCCTGAATACCTACTTTCCTGCTGGGAGCCCAGAATTTTGATAAATGGTAGATGGAGAATGCCCACTTGACCCATCCCCAGTAAAAGGATGATGAGTCTCTAGTGGGCTTCCCTGGGCAGAAACACTGTGAGCATATGGTGGCATTTTCATGGCTGGGGTAAAAGGTTAGAATTTGTGACCCCTCATCTGATGCTACACATGGATCCTTTCAGACTTTGCTTGGGTTTTCCTCTCTTATGACCCAGCATCCTGTCTCTACCACATTAATGTAATAAACCTTAGTCATGAGTAGAACTATATGCTGAATCCCATGAATTCTTGTGACTAACCAAAGATAGAGGTGGTCCTCTGAACCCCAACACAGATGGGAAATAAGCACATGAAGAAATTCTCACCCTCATCAGTCAGCATGGGGATGAAAATTAAGAGCACAATGAGATGCCTTTACACATCTACTAAAGCAAAACTACCAATCAGTTGCCTTCGTGTCAACTCCAACTCATGGCCATCCACGTGTGCAGAGCAGGACTGTGCTCCATAGGGATGTCATGGTGGTGGTCTTTAGGAAACAGACCTCTAGGCCTTTCTTCTGAGGTGCCTCTGGAGGGATTGAAATGTCAACCTTTTTGTTAGTAATTGAGTGTTTGTGCCACCAAAGGACTCCACAAATCTACTGGAGTGGCTAAACTTAAAAGGACTGATCATACCAAGTACTGACAAGGACTACCATAGGTATGTAACCACAGTTCGGTGGCTTCTTAAAAAGTTCAGTGTAAGAGTTCCGGCAAGATGGCGAACTAGGTACAAGGACTGCATAGACACTCTTCAACAAAGAAAAGGGAAACCAATTAACACAGACACAGAAGATAATCTTGGACCCCTGAGCCTTGAAGGGAAGGATACAAAAGTGGACTAAACCCCAACTAGCAGAAGAATTTACGTGAAAATACCAAAAAAGGAGACACACGGAGCTGCAGTCTGGCAGTGGACTGAGCGACCCTGACGGCACAGAAGACACGGCTTGGAGATTCCCGAGTGGTGGTAGGACCTAAGAATTAACCCAAAAATCACCCTACTAGCCAGGGACTGCACAGACTGGGCACGGTGGCTGGGGAACAAACGGAGAAGGTGAAGAGAAAGGTGGGCTGAGTTGTGGACTTTTGCAGGTACGGAGGTCGCCGCCATTTTGTAGGTTTAAAAAGCGACTTGACTATTTTGGATATTTAAAGAGACAGCGCACTCGCAGATTCCTGTGGTAGTAGGACTTAAGAATTAACCTAAAAATCACCCTACTAGCCAGGAACTGCACTGAGGACTGTTCAATGTGGCTAGGGAACAAACGGAGAAGGTGAAGAGAAAGGTGGGCTGAGCTGTGGACTTTTGCCGGACTGGAGGATGCCGCCATTT